CCATTTGTAACATTAAAACTAGAATTACACCAGAACACAAAAAGTTTATAGCGTTATTCAGTAATAAATGAACAAAAGGAAAAGGTCATATCTTGTAAATTCACAGAATATTCTACTTTCGAAGGTAATTTAAATTCATGTCCGTATGAAAAATCTCAAAATAACGATTAAATTTTTAAGGTGGGTGTATAGTGTTGCTTTCTTGTTGTGGCTTCTGAACACCATCGAAGTGAACAACCTTCCATCACATCAACATTTATTAGAAAAGGCCACTGTTTTCAAAAGTTTGAAGTTTTAATGATTAGAGGATGTCGATTCTTCTTCGAATTAAAACCATTAAATGTGTGCTTTTTATAAATAATAAGAGTGAATAGATTTATATCGAATGCAAAGTGACCAGAAAATTATACTTCCATATTCAACTGCAAATGTTGCTTTCTAATAAACAATGTGTTTCTGTGTGGAATATCCAAATTTTGAAATAAATAAGGACGTTCAAATAATAGAAGTTTATTTTTCATGAACAAGAACTAAATGATATGAAGCCGACAAATATTTTTTGTTTTGTTATATATTTATAATGAATTCAAATAAAAATAAGTTTTGTCATGTTCTTCATATTTATCAATTAACTATTATATTACCGTTAACCGAGTCTTTTAAAAAGGTTTATTTATGGTAAGACATTGACAGCTTATTGTATGGGTATTCTGCCATCATAAGCAAAACCCCAGTATACGCAAACTATAGAATGGAGATATTTGCAATAAAACAAATTATTAGTGCCTGCATTTTCATCGGTGGTACCAATATAGCTGCACTTGTTGAATCAAAGACAATTTTTGGATAATGCTTTGAACTAGCTAAAAATAGGTTTAATTTGTTTTTGTTTTGGCTCGTGTTTTAAAATGTTTTTGCTACAAAAGTGTTATGGTGTAGAATCAAGTTGATTTTTTAGGACATAGAATAAATATTACATTTTGCTTACTTTTTAAGAAGGAAAAAGCTTTAGTATCAAAATGGTGAAATAATCTCAAATATTTGTAATTGGTCAGTTACGGGGGTTAGGCTTATGACGGCAGTATAGTCCAGGCATTTACTTTTGTGGAGTTCTGGAGTTGCATAGATTTCGCAAAACTACCAGAATTAAATAAAAAACACTTAAATGATTTGCATATTTTAAAGGAATTGTTCTTTAAATGCAGCTATTAGCTTTTGTTAAAAACATAATAATAAAAACATATATGAACATAATATATAAAACACACGTTTAATAAATTAAGTTTTTGTACATATTGTAGGTAACTTATTTATACATTCCTGTTTAAAAAGAATATTTAAGTAATTAATAACATTTATATATGGAATGACAATACAATTCAAATTTTCAATCTTTTTTTGGCAGGGTCAGTTAAAGAACCTTTTAGATGGTATATTTATGAAGCACATCTTGTTTTATTTTCAAATTTTTACCCATAATTTTGAAATGGATCAAGTTATCTGCTTCCACCTAAAAAATAATGCAAACTAATTAGGTAGAATCAGTGTTAAGTAAAAGGTAGGTACATCTATATTGACCTACTAGTAGTTGTTCAACTAAGTGAACTAGGTAAGTTTTATCAATTTATATCACATTGGAAACAAAAAAAAACAAGATTATCTTTACTTGCATCAAAATACAAAAGCACGTTGGTGGTTTGTATTTTGCAACAACCCTTATCCCACTATCGTTTTTGAATGTCTAGGTCTAGATTTTGAGGAATTTTTATAAACATTTTATCAGATTGACTGGTTTTTTTTACTTCTCTTAGGGACCAAGTACTTAACCAGATATTTTTAACGTTACACAAAATTAAACAAATGTTTATTTTATCACAATTTTTAAAAGCAATTTCAATATTTTGTTTCCAACAATCGATTTGAGGTTAGAAATTTTGAGAAATGAAAACAATCCGATTTTAGAAAGAGATAACTATCATAAATGTCACTATTAGAAAAAGATAAAGATCAACTGTCTAGTGTTACGGTATCACAGATTCTTTAGTGACCAATAGAAATAGGCGCTTCATTATGACGCGGTTAATGGCGCAAAAATGGAGTGTTTTAAATAATTGATTTAAAAGTGAACTTTTTAAAGTACTATAACTTTATTATTTATTATCTATTTAAAGAATTTATTGCATGAAAAAAAAAGTTTTTTGTGCTTAAACAGGTAATAGTATTAGATTCGTTAAATTCGTTTACACTAAACACGCCCATTACTCCTGCTAATACTGGTAAATAAGTTTCTACATCCGTTTTAAATTTATTTCTCAATTTCAAGTTTTCAGTAGACTTACAAAGATCTTTATGCTATTTTTCTCTGTATACCCTGTATACTATACAATGACGGCTTGTGGTCAAAATATCGGGGTTCACAATGACAGAATATATATCTGAATACAGATTTAGCCAAAAAACCGTTCTAACACACTAATTTTACCCAAATCTGTACTTATATCTGTATTCCATTATTTTGAACCCCTAATATTTTGATGACGAGCCGCCACTGTAATATATTCATACTTTTTATCTTCGTGCATCTACATCATTCAAAAAATAACATAAAGCTTTTGTCTTTGAAGCTCTTTTTTCACTATATTTCAATATCTGTATTCTAAGTACCTATAGTAATACCAAGGAATTTTATTTTAAGCTGTCGAGACCTTTTACCACTGCTTCTTGCTCTGTCTAACTTTACCTCGAGTTGTACAGTCACCATGGCAGGTCGTAAATATCCCCGGCAAGTGTAATGTTATTGCACAGACTTTTGTGTTTGTTAGGTATGAATATTGTTCGTCTATAACCTGAATTTGAATCGTGAGACACGTTTTCTATGTCGGTGCAACCATAGCAGTTTTAAATTTATCGATTGGGTATTTTATTTGCCAACAGATTACTTTCCCTCGTTTGTTGTTGCACGGCACGGCACAAGATGTCGTTATTTAAAGCAGTCCTCAAATCAAATTACAACGATGGTATTATTACGGTAACACTTATTTTAAAAATACAAACTTAGTATCGTTGCTTTTCATCAAGACCGACACAACTCGAAACCATTGATTTTTGTACTATTTTAATATAAAATAATGGAATCACGTTTCCTTTATTTAATAAATTAAGTATTTATTGTAAAGAACAGCAACCCAAGTAAAAGAAAGTCACATAAACAAATAATGGTCAAACAAATGTTTTTTTAATATTTAAAATATTTACCTTTTCGATCAAAAACGTTTTAAAATAAAATGTGACACTATTACCCGAATAAAATATAAAATAACATAAACTTTTTGTTTTGTGTCAGTCTTTCTGAAAAGCTTGTAATGAAATTAAAAACAAATTTGGTATTTCTTAATTTGTCACAATATGCGATGATACCTCCACAAAAGTCTCGTCGATATTGAATTGGGATAGTTTTGTGCAATATTAACTTAAAATTCCTAGAAGTGTTAAAACAGTCAGAATGCCTGCCCTCTGTCCATACTATGCACAGTTGATTTGTGTCGATCTTCATTAAATTGTACTGCTTTTTTAAGCACAATAGTAAACAAATCCAAAAATTGAAAAAAATTGTGACGGTCTTGTTTTAAAGCAGTGACATATTTATCTAATTCAGTATTTGAAAGGGACCCGCCTGATGTATTTCTTGTCATGACAATCTATTCCAAATTCGATTTAATTTGATCACGTGATATAACCGAGTCAAAATTTAAATTCAATCTTAACCTTCGTCCAACCTTTTCAGATTTTTTTTAATGTTTAATTAATAAAGGAGACCAAACCAATTCAAGATAAATTAAACAGCCATAAAATCAATAATTGCGATATTAAGTCACAAGTTCATCATCGAAATCGTCTTGTTTGTTCGCGATGCTTTAGATACAGAGGTGTATTTTGAATGAATGCTGTAATTTACTGATAACATGCTTAACACAGATACATACTTAACTAGACAAATATTTACAAAACAGACAATAAACATTTTTTGATGCCAGTTGGAAATCACTTGGATTCATTATAGAAATTAAAAGACTGTTTTTATTTGGTTCCCTAATAATTTGGTGCCAATCACTTGGACATGAGAACAAAATCTCGGTCTGAAGGCAGATGAGTATGTCCACTATTGCCCAGTGATAATAAATTGAAGTTTTTTTGTATAATTGACCTTTAGGGTTTTTTGTATATTCGGGTTTAATACTACAACCTTTTGGTTTTGAATCCCTCACATTGATAGAGTGAGTAGGATTTATTGCAGTAATGACAGGTATCATTACCTTTTGTGAATTTGCTATATGTATGTTTCAACCCCAGATCGAAGGATGAATGTTTAGCTTTTCCATTTCTGAATGTTTCGAATTAAATTGTTGAAATATGGACCTTCATGTGGATTACTTAATGTTTGTTTATATAACCTTTTGGTATTGGTATCCGATTGGAGTTAACATCGGTCCCCATGATCCTGTATCAATGCCAATCTTGGCCATAGCATTTATCCATTCCATTGTAACATCATGGAGTTTTTGGAGTTTATCAGATGCTTCATTATGACTTACTGGCAAATCCAATATTTTATCAACCAATGTTACTACTAGTTTTCTTTTATTTTGATAACGCTTCTTTAAAATGTCCCAAGCTGACTGGTAGTTGTTTTCGGTTATGTCCAAATGTTTATTTTGCAAGCTTCTCCTCGAAAATTCGTTTTTAAATACTGCATTTTTTTAATGGTTGATGAATAACTTTTTGGAAAATGTCATGAAATGTAAACCATTGGTCATAGCTCCCATCAAACATCGGTAGTTTTATTTTTGGTCTACTTTTATCATATTGATTTGGATTCCCATTATTTGCAATTTTTTCTTCAATTTTCTTCATTAGTTCCTCTATATCTTCCTTCATTTTAGTGAATATCCCTTCTAATAAAATATCTGTCTTGGAAAGTTGTTTCAAAAGCCATAATCTCCTCATGTAATTCCCAAATACTCCCATGTCTTTTCTGCTGTGTTTGTGAGCCACTGATCTTTGGAGTTGATCTTATTTTCATCAATTTCTTTGTATATTTTTTGAATGAGTCTGTTTAATTGGTCACATTTCCATTTTTGTTTTTTCAATCTCGTTTCTTGATCAGTGTCCTCAAGATTTAACTTTCTTATTGTCTCTGATTTACTTTCCTCTTTAAATTTTTGGTATTTTACCAGGTAGTCTTTGGTTTCTTCATATTTCTTTTGTAATTGTATGAAGTACGCATTTTCAAAGTAAACGTGCTCTGGAATCTTCAACTTTTGGATTTCATCTTCATTAACTCTTATTTTATTCCATACGGCCTCCACTTCTTTAAGTCGCTTAGCTATATTTTCACCTGTTTTTCTTGAAATTGAGTCTTTTTTGGCATTGATTAGTGTTTGGACCAGTTTTTTCCCCAGGTTTTGTTGATCCTATGCCAGTTGGTTTGCTGTCTCCATAAGTGTCAACATTTTTGTTTTTTTTTTTTTCAAAAATTTGCTCGAAACTCGTATGCTTAACGAGGCAAATCTTTGACTTTAACTTTTTAGACACAAATTTCAGAAAAACAGAAATCTCTTCATCACTGCCTTTTTGCAATGTCCTTCGTCCATTCAAACTACTCCAAGATTGTACATCCACACCTTTGGATATAGAATGCCGGTCCCGTTTCAAACAAAATCGCACATCTTCTATTATCGTTTTTAGAAGGATCTGTTTCTTGTTTGAGGTCTTGCATTCATTTTACTTTAGCTTCACTTAAGTTGAGTTTTGTTGTCTTGTCGCATCAAGTTGATTATTTGCCATCTTTATAGTTTCTATTTTGATAGTAACCAAATTTGGGTACCTTGAAACCAATATTGTACAGTGTAGAAATAAATCATCTATGTTTTAAAATTGGTTTAATGCCCTTTTCTTGGCTCCAAGTCTTGATGTACTCATACCCCAATCAGGAAGTGCCTGTGCCTTGATTAATTTGGTTTCTAATCCATGATAATTTAAATAATACTCTTCTTTGCATACACATATTCCTTCAATTTATTTTGACTAAGTAAACTGAATTTTACAACCTACTGGACTGTTGCCTCTTCTGCTGTTTTAAGGAGATATTTTTTTTGTTAAATGAATTCAGTTAATCAAAAATATAACTAGTTTGAAGCTCACAAGAACCCATATTCCTAAAGCTGAGCCCCAAGCTTTTCTCTTCAATTTTTTTTACATCCACAAATAGTCTAGATTCTCGCACGCCCTTTTCTTTCTTCTATCGCTAACATATTCTTGTTCCGAATTCCTTCTACATTATCTTTTTTTGTCGAGACTAAAATTCTAATTTAGTATCTTGTTTATTCCTGCTTTTCGGGATACGTCTAGGGGAATTCGGTTTAGGTATTTTTCACTATCTTCACTTTCCACATCGAAAAATCTAATAGTATAACAATTAACCCATTTTTTACATTAGATTGCTCAAGTGCACTAATGAGATAAGCCACGTTATTTAAAAAAAGTTATTTGCTGATTACGACATCTATTTTGATCGTCACTAACACCATAATCATAATTACTATCAAGATCAATGTTACCTATGGGAGATCAATTTAACTGCTCATATGTTCACACTAGGATAGAACACAAGCACATTTATATTCAGAGTTGACCATTTGCCTTGTCACTATTTAATACAAAAGCAGAGAGTCGCAACAATATAATTGTTTGATTGTGGCGGTATCTATTGACAAAAAGCCGAATTCTACGTTGAGAGGCTTGTAATATTATTACATTATTCTTTTAATAGAATTTGAAAAATATATGGCTTGTCATTGTTTCACATTAAGACCTTCAGTTGTTGAATTAATATTCTATTTATTATAAAGAGGTCAGGGGCAGTCTATAGGGATTAACCCAATATGACATATTCCCTTTGAATGTAAATATTTAACTTTAAGAAAATCTATTTTTAGCTTATTAATTTAATATTTATGTCTATAAAAACGACACTATTTTCCTTGCATCGAAGATATATTGCGCTTTGTTTTTTTTATTATATGATTGAATGATATATGGTATTCTTGAATCGTTTTTACACCTTTTTATTTGAACGACCTTTACCTTAAACACACCTGTGATTCAACGTGTATGAATATAATTTCAATAAGTATAAAAACGTTTAAAAAATTCCATCTCGAGATTTTAATTTATCGTATACGTACATGCCGGTCCAATAAATTTGATTGAAATTTATGGCTGCGCCGAAAACATGCGGTTTGTAGATGGTCGCCATTTTTTTTATACGTTCTGTAAAAGTTGATTCTTTTATTTTGTTTAGTCCACACCTAAATCCGTTGAGCGGTAATGCACAGATGTATGTCAAGTAAAAGCGGCTTTAATATCTTCGAACGTATAAACACTAGATTAAATAATCTTTGCTGAAACTGGAATAGTTTTTAGAAAGAGATAACATTCCATTTTTGATCTGATTTTTAAGGAAGATTTTTTATTTTCTTTTTATCCTTTTTTCTTTCATTTTTTTTACTTTCCTGTTTTTCCTTTTTTCTTTCCTTTTTCTTTTTTTTTTTCTTATTTTTTCTTATTTTTTTGCTTTTCTTTTATTTATTTATTAATAGGCCTACATTTCTAGAATGATACAGCTATTTGGTAACATCTAATAAAATATTACAATATTTACTAAACATTCGCATTCACTTTAATGTCTTTTTAACATTTCCGAAAAATAGAAGCTTAAAAAATATAATTCTAAAAAAAACAGCAGAGCACCTAGGGCAGGTCTGCGCAACATACGGCCTGCGGGCCGCTTGTGGCCCGCCATTGTCGTTTTCTTGGCCCTTTGTCCCTTTACCAATTTGGCCCGCCTACTATACATTTTTCAGTAACAATATTGCATTTATTAATTGCCTTAATACATGTGGTAAAACAAAAAAACTTTACTGAATAAAACTTTGATGTAAGTATTTAAAACAAAACTTAATAAATAATATTTATTTTATTTAAAAAACAACTTTTGAAAATAAACTAAATGAATTTTTTTGAGCCTCAAGATTAACGTATTTGAGCATTGCACCTGCGAAAATCCGTTACTGTCTACATCCCCCTAACCCCCTCGCTAAAAAAAAAATTACATCCGCTCTTGGCCCTCATACACCTACGGTTTTTTTGAACTGGCCCTTTGAAAATCTCAGATATGCATGCCTGACCTAGGGAATTTTGAGTTGAAACCTATATATTTATAGGCTATTTTAAGGCTATTGTTATACTCTATTCAAAAATGTTATGCTCCTCGTATTTTACAAAATCAAATCGAACGAATCCACCAGAGGACCTCAGTTTTTTAATGCCTCTTTCAAGAAGCAACCACACTACATTTTTAGGCTATTTTTAGGCCCTTGAAATATTAAAAAACTTATTTTTAAATAATAAGAGGGTGCTTTGTTGGAACAATGTCAACAGAGCACCTCGGTTTTTTAAAGCTTTTTTCTAAAAACACCACACCACATTTTTAGGCTATTTTAGGCCCTTGAAATATTAAAAAACTTAAATAAAAAATTGCCATCTCGGTTTATTATTTTTGTTTTGAAAACAACTAATAAATGCCATGAAATGAAATTTTTTATAATTTTTCAAGAGCCTAAAAATAGCTTTAAAATGTGGCATAAATAGTTGTTTTCAAAACAAAATTAATAAACCGAGGTGTTCTGCTGACTTTGTTCCAACAAAGTACCATGTATTATTTAAAAATAACAATTCTTTAGTAAAGTGTTATAATATTTCAAGAGCCTAAAAATAGCCTAAAATGGTGGTGTGGTTATTTTTTGAAAAAAGCTTTAAAAAACAGGGTGCTCTGCTGGATTCGTTCGAAGCTAGGAAAGCACCGTGTATTTTTTAAAAAATACTAATTTTTTTCGAAAAATTTTGAAATATTTTAAGAGCTTAAAAATATGATGCCGTTGTGTTTTGATAAAAAAACTTTAAAACATTTATCTGCTGACTTCGTTCTAGCGGAGCATCTTGATTTTTGTATATAACGAGGAGCTTAAATTTTTTGAATAGGGTATAAAAATAGCCTTAAAGTAGCCTAAAAATATGGCATAGGTTTTCTTATTCCGTAGGTGCTTTGCTGCCTTCTTTGGTATAAAAATATAGCAAAAAGGTACTAAACCATTTTTTAATCTTTGATGTAACAATTATTATGACTAGAATAATTTTAGAGTCTAATCGTGGTAAGAAAATGTTGAAATTTCATTTAAAATCCTTGCATTCATATCCTATAGATATCTCCAGGGTGCACTCAAACATAACATATTAATACAGATAAGGGTAAGAAATCAAACATATATGGTTTATTTTATTTTTTAGTTTTAATGTACAACCTGTACAAAAATTGATTAGAAAAACCAATGAAAGCTATAAAACAAAACAAGTAATCTGTTTAAAAAGTTTTCAGGTAACACTTTGTTTTTGAGTACACCCTGTAGAAATGTAATAAAAATTGAAGGATTTTAAATGAAATGTAAGCTTTGTAATTAATCAAAATGCTTTCCTTGTAGTCTCAATGTTACAAGCACGAAAAATGAAATATTACTCTGAAAAATAAAGTTAAAATGATTGGTTATTTGTGACCAGTGATTTTGACTGTAATTTTACAGTCACTTTGGATTGATATGTGTACTGAATCGTTGTAAAATTACATCGACGATTCTACTGGTTACTTAATAATTAAAAAAAAAACTTGTAATATTTAATTTTTCACCTGCAAGTAGTTGTTTATTGTAACATTACAACCCAGTATGTAATTTAACAACACTGTAAAAGTTTGTGATTTTACCTTGTGATTTATTTGAAATTTAGATATTACCCTGTAATTAACATGGGTTGCGATTTTACCTTATGATTTTTGTGTATTTTTACAATGTATTATCCGAAAAAATATATAGTGTGATCCAAAAAGACAAAACACGAATTGACAGCTTCTTTTTCCAACCTGACATTTCATCAGAAAGAAAAGGAAACTGTGGGGCCCCTTTAATGTTTTTGGGAGCAACGAAATTTAATTTATTTTTATAAAATTTATGTCAATTAAATTTTGACCTCAAGTATCCAGTTTTGTCTTAAACAAATAATTTTTTATAATATCAGGAATAATCAAAGCTTCATTGTTGCCCAAACGTTTAATTTTTACTAATATTATTTATAAAAAATTGTAAACTTTTATTATTAACAAAAAAACTTGGATTGCATTGCTAAAGACGAAGATCTAATGATGTTTTGACTAAATTTTTCTAACTGAAAAATATGATTTCTAAAACACATTATTTATTTTCAACATTATTTGAAGTATCAGGTTTACACTTAGT